GCAATATTGCCCTGCTGCCCGGGCCAAGGCAGGCAGCATAGGGCTTTCTAGCGCATAAGCGCTGCCCAAGCGAGCCTAAGCAGAGCCTTTTGCAACACTGACTAAAATTCCTAGCGTAACCTGTGATACTGCTTTTATGTTGCTTCCTGCCACGGAGGTTGATTAGTCTTGTTTTTCAGCATTAGATATTGAAAGCTATTCTGTTCAACTCAGTTTATAAACTGCATTTTCTGGATGGATGTTTTCCAATTTTTTTCTCTGAAGATTGTTCAATGAGTATTTATTTTCTGGGACGCTAATGCTTGTTTATCATCTTATTTTTACCCCCAGGCAAAGGCAAATTCCCAAAGGAAAGCTGAAGCAAAGGCTCACCACTAAACCAAAAGAATTTTGTTTATGTTGGGTGAATGCTTTGAATTAGGAATAATGCACAAAGATGGAATTGAACAAGAGTTTCATTACTTCTTATAGCTTTTTGGACCTTTGTGTACTCATCTCAAATTCTTTTGCAAGTTTTTAACTCAGTATTTGGACCATTGTTTTTCCCTGTTAACAATGGCCTTTATGCTGGATGTGTAGTTTTTGTTGAGTAGAAAGCAACGGGGCAAACTAGTGATGAATGCTCTGTGCTTTCCTGATTAAAATAATAATGTTATTGACTCCCAAAATTTACTCCATTCCAACAGCCTCCAACCTCTAAAATTAAATTATTTTATTAGTTATATAGATCATATTGTGGTGAGTGACTTCACTCGTTTAGTTATGTTTTATGTTGATTTTAGTTGTCATTATTGCTATCTTGATTAGTGTGCTACTAGTTGGATGATCTTCAGACCTATTGTAGGGCAATACGTGAAGAAAAACATGAATGGCGTTCTCCACTTCCACCGCCACCATCTTTCGTCTCCTGTCCTCTTTGCTCTTGAAATCCACCATGAAACCGCTGCCTTTTCTCTGAAGCCAACCCAAAAATCCCACCTCTCCAAAACGTTCTCTAAACCCTCTTTTCCTCACACAAATATAACGTTGTTCTTTCCTTCCAAAAACCTGATTTCTTTCTCCCCTAACGAAGGCCTGGGTGATGATTCTACCCCATCAAGAATGCGGTATTGTGGGCATTTTTGGGAACAGCATTTCGTCTGTGCTACTTGGCTCTTCATGCCCTGCAGCATCGCGGACAGGAAGGAACAAGTATTGTTGCTGTGAACAACTAGTTTCTTCAATCAGTTAGGGTCCTAGGTTAGTGTCAACATGTTAATGAGTCTAAACTTGATCAATTGCGGAGAGATATGGTCATTGATCATGTTAGATAAAATTCTATCTAATTGGAAGAATGTGCAGCCTTTTGTTAAGGATTCAAATTTGCAAGTTTGGCTCAGTTAGGGGTTTGTTTATAATGGTAGTCTGGTGAATTATAGAACTTTAAGGACCATGCTTGAAGATAATGATTCAATTTTCAGTACTAATTCCGATACTGAGGTGATACCTCGTTTGATTGTAATTTCAAAGGCTACAAAAATATCTTTACGAGGATTGTGGATGCTTATGACCAGAATAAAGCGGCTTATTCACTGGTGTTTATGACGGGGGATAAGCTTGTTGCAATGCGTGACCCATTTGGGTTTTGGCCCTCGGCCATGGGGAGGAGTAAAAGTGCTGTTGTTTTTGCTTCAGGGTTTGGGTTCAGTCATTTTTCATGCCTTGACCTCTCTCCCTGAGCCAAACCAGAACAATGTAGTTTTGCAGAATGACTATTTTGTCCTGCCTGGTTCTGTTGTATTTGCGTCTTTTTGGAGAACTTGCTCCGAGTGTTCAGTTGCATGTGATGTTATTCATTCCAAAGCTAGATTATGGTGCGGTGGTTGCTCTTGATTATGTAGCCAAAGCTGGAGTATCATTCCAGCAAGGGCTAATTACGTCTCATTGTACATGTTGGCAGATATTAGGGACTTTAGTGTCAAGCTCAAGCTTTCACGGGTCCTTGGAGGAACAACTTGTTCCAAAATTGTTAGATTGATTAAAGAGGGAGGTGCTTAGGGGTCATAAAGGACTAAGGAGGCTCACATTAGGATTGCAACCCCATCGGCTCTTGTTATAATGAAACAGGCTGTCTCCGCGGCGGCGGAAGGTGCCGCAGTAGGTGATGAGTCTGAGAAAGACTGAGAACTCCGAGGCATGGGTGGAGTTTGTCTGCAGAGACGGCTGACGGTACTGAGGTGGAGAAACATCAAATGTTGGAGGAAATAAAGGTGAGTTATGTAGCGGAGCAAACCCAGATTTCTCGAGGAGACTAGGCAGGTAGAAGATGAACTAATGAGACTAAGGGCGTCTGATGTGGCTGCGGGAACTGAGATTCCAAGGGGGAACAGAGGTCATGGGATGCGCCGAAGTCGCGAATGAGGCATCATTTTCCTTCTTGTAAATTTAGTGTCATTGTCAATAGGTATTCCTCTGGATTGTGTATGTTCTCAGTACCAATGTTGACTAGTTCAAGGCTTTGAAAATGAATATATTTTAAATAAATTTTTTTAAAAAATTTATATACATGGATCGCTTATAACACCATTCCAGAAGTTTGGGCTCAGAGCAACTACTACTCTTTTTTGTTTATTTATCTTGTCTCTGGTGTTTGTTCCGAAGCCCTAAACTTCAATGGTCCATACAAAGCTTCCAAAACAAAGAGGAAGGAAAGTGCCAAAGTGCCAAAGTGCCATTTCTCGTAATTTTCTCTGCGTCCAGTTCGATTTCGGTTTCCTCCTCCATAGGCCTTGGCTGCCATGGGCAATCTGGTATGTTTTTCTTCTTCTTCTTCTTCGTTATTTTTTATTTTTTTTTATTTTTTTTGAGATCGCAGATCCCAATTTTCTATACATCCAATTCTATTTCTATGTTGTGTGGTTTTGGGCTGAATTGATAATGAAACTAAAAGTTCAGCAGAAATGTTCCGACTCTCGAATGTTAATTTTTTATGACCATCTTTAGAGAGCGTAGAATTGTAATATGAATTTCGTTCTTTCTTTCCCTTTTTGTGTTTTTGAATTTTTTTCCTTAAAAAAAAAAGTTGGATGATTTATGTTAATGTATTGGTTTAGGCGGGAGTCCATGATCTGCTGGAATTACCAGCTGGAGTGAAGTTTGATCCGACCGACGAAGAACTTCTGGAACATTTAAAGGCGAAAGTAACCGGGAAGGATCATCGTTTAATTCATAACTTTATTCCAACACTGGAGGAGGAGAATGGAATTTGCTACACTCATCCAGAGGGGCTACCAGGTATACATTGCTTTTGTATTAAAATCTAATAATTGCCTTGCTTTTTGCACTCTTTATGACATATATCTCAACTATTGAGTGATGCCTAAGTTGGAAATGTCAAAACCAAACCTTGAGAAGGGATAGCTATTCTTGTCCAATACTTGATCATTAGATGTGCTAAAAAAAAATCACACACATAACAGGGAAAAAAGAAAAAAATGGTACTAAATTGTCTCCTATATGGGTTTGAAACCAAGTAGTAATTGATTTAGAAGAAATGAACATGTAATTAGAATTTTAGGGATGCAAGTTGTTTGCAATGTTTAATTGGAATTTTACATAAATGTGTCCATTTTTCGTTCTGCATAAGCTTGATACTAATTTCATTCATAAATCTTCATCCTTTTAGGCAAATGTAATTTTACCATCCATCAAATTAATCTCTTGCAGGAGTAAGCAAAGATGGCCAAATTCGACACTTTTTCCACCAACCTTCAAGGGCATACTCGACAGGAACAAGAAAGAGAAGTAGGATACACACAGATGATGATGGAAGGGAAGCTAGGTGGCACATAACAGGCAACATTCAACCTGTGGTAATAGGAGGCACTGTGAAGGGATTCAAGAAAATCCTCTTATTTGACGCCCACTACGAGTGCCACCAATATCATCTAGGCAATAATGAAGAGAAGGAAGGTGAGTTGGTGGTCTCAAAAGTGTTCTACATGACTCAACCTCATCACTATGGCTCTGGTGTTAGAGATTCAATTGGGAGAAAGATGGTGAGTTGGTGATCTATTCTGTTCTGTTTGTGGCTGCCTCAGTTTCAGTCAAATTTGGTTTTGATTCAAATTTTCCCTTTTACATATCATGAGTACCTCATTCAGTTGAATAGCAAAGCGTTATTTCATTTTAGTATCTGGATATTTCAGTTACTTAGGCTCCATTTCAATGGAAATTGATTTTTCTTTCCAATTTCCCCGTTTCTTTTTGCTTGGTCAGTCTTTTTTTAGTTTTAGTAGAGGCCTGAGCTCAGCTGATTTAAGGTTGTGACTTAGGTTAGTTGCTAATAATGAAGAACAACTCTCTTCTGCCTACTTATTCTAAATTTTTTAGTACCATTTGTTTGCTCATTCTATCTCTCCATTTCTTTTTACAGGGAGCGTCTTTTCTCAAGGATTGTTGGAATGGTATAAAAGGATCACTATCCATAGCTTCTAACGCCCTTGCTAAAGTTAAAAACCTTTTTAATGAATCTGCCTTACAAGCTTCAGAACAGGAACAGCCACACGAACATGATGATGCTAATAGCAACAGAAGATCTGGTTTCTACAGCTTTATTGATGATGAGTCTATTCCTAAAAGAAGAAAGCCTAGTCAGTCAAAGTCTGATGATAGGAATGGTTCTTTGTTGAGCACACCGGATCACTCTCACCCTCCAAACCAAACTGCAACAGGTGAGACAACAAAGGGACAAAGGATGCAGGCTCAGATCCCTATTAATTCAGCTGCTCAAAATCTGATTAAACCTGGGAGTAATCATACCATTGTTGAACTTCATAGATGGGATTCTGGTTCAGTGTCAAGGTCGGATATGGTTCCTGCAAGCTCTGCACCATCAGCTGAAGCTCAACCCTGGGGAAGTTCTTCACATACTTCCCTTTCTAAGCCTGCTCAACCTGTTGCATTTGGTCGCATGAATAGTGCTTCATCCACTGGCCACAATTCATCTTTAGGCTCTAGGAATCGAGCTGGGAGTTTGCCTCAAATTGGTTTGCTTGCATCTGCTCCTTGTAGGCCGAAAGTTCAGCAACCTTTTGGCAGTGATTTTAGAAATAACCAAAATGCTGCTCTAAGACCGGCGGCCCAGGATCAGAATCCTTATTGGGGGCAAGTAGCAGGAAACCCAAAAATAGAAGTAGGGGGACAGCCAGGGAACCAAAATGCTACTCCAAGGCCAGTGGACCAGAATCAGGAACCTAATTGCCCAAGAGTGGGAATCGGCAGTTGTTCCGTGACTCCAAGTGTTATCGTTCATTCTGCTGGCTCGAGTACAATAAATATTAATAATGGAAATACTTATAATTTCTCACCTCAGTCAATTGCATACCATGAAAGTAGAAATCACAATCCTATCTAGGATCTGAAGGGTGAGCCAGTACTGTAGGTAGTATTTCTTTATTTTTTTATACTGTTTTCTACATATGATTTATGCATGCATAAATTAGATAGAAAAAGGAGTTCCAATAGGTATTTCAATTTGTTAAGAATTTGAGATTTTAAATTGAAAATTTTAAATTTTAACCTTGAGATATGTGAAAAGAAATTAAGATAATTATTTCTATTATATAACTTATCATCTTATTAAGAGTGGGGGGGAGGAGAGGGGATGTAGAATTGATATGATATTTCTCAATTGTACAGTTGCAGACTACAGTAGGGATCCGAATGATATCTTTCCCTTCTCCAGTAATATTAACCAAATATTTATAAAAAGAGTTAGCTCCAAGTGTTACAACAATTCTCAGTTATCCATTTTAACAATTAATTAATTTAATATTTGAATTTTTAAAATAACGGTAATATTAAAATTATAAATTGATAACATGATACTACATTAAATGAGTATGACATTTTATTAAATTAATAAATATTGAAGAGATTCTATATAAAATAAACTAATTATACAATGACATATCATATTATAAATTCATATTATAATTTTATAATATTATGTAATACTGTAACTATAATGTTTTCATTAAAATAACCCCTTAAATGAGTTGGGCTGGGCTGAGCCTGCACTAGGCCAACCTAAGTCAACCTGACCCAAAGTTTTATTGGGGGCAGGTCCTCAGGGAGGCTCATATTACAGACGAGGATTACAAGCCTGTCAGCTCCTGGTTGATGCTCAAAAAAAGAAAAAAAAGAAAAAAAAGAACAACACCCAAAGCTATGATTTTAATTAAAATGTAGTAAAATTATATAAGTCAGTAGTTGGTACAAATTCTTGGATAAGATGAAGGTACATTCCCACATGATAGTAGTTAAGAGTACCAATGAAATAAGTGTTTACTGATTTTCTTGATGACTCTGGAATGCAGGATACTGTCTGTTGATTATTCTGGCTATTCCTCTGAAATTAAATGAGTGTTAGAATAATGCAGCGATTAACATATGGAAATTAACTATTGGCTGCTCGATTGTAAGCATTGGACTTGTGCTTTGGTGCAAACGTGAAGCCATCTGGAACATTGCCACGCAACATTTCAGAAATTCGTATCTGCACAAATGAAACGTTTAAGATACAACAATCTATAACCCCCAAGATAGAGTTGATGTCATTTAATACCATAGAAGGCAAATAAATCATAAGTTGGAAAACAAAGTGAACTATTTACCTAATCAGCTGCAGAGTTGTTAATGTCTCAGGGTCATCTTGGCCATGGTAGGATGGTGGGTGCCAGTTAAGCCATTGTGGAATGACATCTAAAAGACCAACAGGTATGTATCTACATGCATAGCTCAGCCACTCCAATTAGAAATGCCTAGTTTTCTCAACACCCGCAACATTTTTGCAACCGAATGATATTCTTATGCATGCATTCATCATTGGGTGATATATGGTATTACTGTAAAGGTGCAGATTCCTATTTTAAGATAAACTACTCTTCTTAGTTTCATTGCATCTCATCAAGGACATCAAATGCCTATTAAATTAACACCACATACCTTTTGTGTCAGATCCCCAATGTTCAAGACCAAAACGTACATAATCCTTCAAAATATTCGACTGCTGTCCAGAAGTTATATCCCAGTGTCTCTGTTCCTTGATTTCAGTAAATATCCAAGGCTGCAAAGTAATCTTACTATTAGTCGCAAGAATATCAGATTGTTTCAGAAAAATAAAAAGGTCATGGGCACATATAGCTCTAATCTATAGTACCTTAGTTAGTGCCCCTCGAGCAACATGCATGAAGAAAGCTCAGGGCAGTCAGAAACATGATAGTTCCAGTCTAAAAATGAAAAAATATCACCATTCCCCAAAACTTGCAAAGTATCAGGGGCCTTCCTAGCACACTGGTATATGTAGTCCCAACCAGCAAGTTTGCTATACTGTTGTTGGCATGATCGACCATGTACTGTGACTGCAATGGCACCCCAGTAGCCAATATCTGCAATTAATGAATCAATGCGATTCTTCCCTTCAAATAACCAGTCCGTACCTGGTGTGTCAAAAGTGCAGCATTACAATCTGGGAAAAGCTTGATAATTGTGTGTTAAAAAGGGAAAGCTGACCAAGCTTCAGAGGAAGGATAAGGGAAAAAAGGTTTGAAATTAAAAATAAAAAAGAGGGGGGGGGGGGGGGGGAACGCCACGGATTGCATATTCTATGAAAGTGAAAGTTAACTAGAAAATGCAAAAACATAAATAGACAAAAAAAAAAAAACTTGACAGAACCTAAAATATAATGTCCTGTATCAGAATTTCATTCATGCTTTGGTGAAATAATAACATAGGTTTTACAAAGTACCTTAACAGTTATAGTCTTATAGGTGTCTCCACTGTTGCAGAGGCAGCTTCAATAATTCTTTTCATTCGCATGGGCTTTGTAAGAAGGCATGATCCAGCACCCTTGTTAACAACAATATCAATTGGGCAGCCCATCATCGCTCAGAAATGGGCATTCGCCCTCCAAATCAGCTAGTTTCTGCATTTAACAACATCGACTTGATGAATCTAACAAATTTTCTTATTCAAACAAAACTAAAACGACAAAGAAGTAAGGAAAACCGGAATTCTTATAATACCTGGGCCTTAAAGGCTTCAATGTTATGGCTGAAGCAGCATTTATCACCATAAGGGCACGAACTTAAATCTCCAGTCTTTGATATTTCAGGACAGAGATTCAGCGCAGATTTTCATTCCTGTATGTCCGGAGATCATCACTAGTGATGGAATAAAGTCATTTTCTACTTTTCTTTTCTAATTAGCAAACAGAACATATCATATCCAGAAAAACAAATATATATATATCTAAAGATATATTAAAGCAAAACCGAAAAAACTTCTTTTTGTTCACACTGTGTGTACACATTTATTCACACTTAAAAACTATATAACTTTTACTTTTGAATCCTTAAACTGGATTAGAACTAGATTGAAACCAGTTCAAATACTTCTTTTCACACTATATATCAAATTTAAAAATAGAAGTAAAATTATTA